ATACCCATTACAGGACCATGAGTCAGAAGCATGGCTACAGATTTTGAAGGAGCTGATCCTATCAGAGAACTTGACAGCTTATAAAAGAAGGGGATGGAGGGAATGCACTTAGCGTCCTGTATTGGATTGTTAGGGAAGCCATTACTTCTCATTAAATCTTACTTGGCAAGTGAATCCAAATTGACTTAAATGGGTGTGTTCACAGAGGTGGAAAATCTGGCTGCATGACCCTGAACAAGAGCAATGAATGTCACTGATGCATTGAGGAGTTGGAACAGGCCTGCTGAGGGGCCATAGGGAGCAGAGTTAGAAATGAACTTATCGCATGTCCTTCTTTATGGCTGTGGTAAGAGAGGAAAGATCATGTCTGTGAAATTTGCAGGTGCTACTAACCTGTGATAGGTGAAAATTGTGGGGAGGGGAGGGATAGAAGGGGCCTGATTTTCTTTCCAAGTAGCATGCTAGTGACATCCTCTACCTGCTCATGAGAAGATCTGATCGATCTGTAAGAGGAAAAAGATCAAGCTATGCCAAGAAACTACAATGAAAGGGTTATTGCATGAGAAATACATTAGACAGGCAGAACAGACAACATGAGAGGGAGAGAGGTAGCAGGGGTTGGGCAAGTGCTGGACTTCATTGGTGAACAAATCCTTGTCATGGGTTGGGAGACAGCAATTTCCCTACCTCCCTGAGTGGTGAGGGCATTGTGATGGTGATTAGGCAGATGAAATGAGGCATCAGGGCTAATTAATGCTGCCTGGAAGACCGGTGCATCATAGGAGATGTGGTGCTAATATGGATACCAAGTGATTAGGAAGGGTGGGTGCACGACGCAAGCTGAACTGCAGCTCCCACAAGGTGCCACAGCAGCATTTCCCAACTGAGATATTTCTGGGTTTGAATTATTGCCAAAGAACGGAAATTTTCCATCGGAGGGAAGGGAATGCCACACAGGGCTGGTGTAGTGCTTTGTTTCAGCTCAGAGTGAGTCTCAGGACTGTGGGAGGAACTGCAATTCCCATGCAGATCAAAGCCAATGGGCAAGTTCCCATTAGTCACTGGGTGGCAAAGATTTTGAGTCTATCACAATCACAAAGAGCTTCAGGGAGTGAGCCAGCCACCCAGATGCTACTGCCACCCTCCACTGGCACTTCCCCACCTCTCTCATCTACCTCTGTTGAGACAGAGCTCTGTCCTTCCTCCTGGCAATGATTTCAATGCTGTAAACTCCCGTTGTCTTCAGTAGAGTCACCCTTGACTGACAAAGGGGAGAGCGCAGAAGCAGGATGGGCAGGGAAGACAGGCCTGAGCCAAATCCCAGATCCACATTCTCTCCACCGAGCTGGAGGTGTCTGAGATCTGGAGCTGGGGTGGGAAAAAGCCTATCTCTCCCCTTGTGATGTGGGAATGAGCGGCGAGAGGCAGCCCTTCCTAGGGCAGCGGCAGCCCACTCCCTGCGTGCCTGGAAGGGGGAATGCCCCAGCTCCATTCTTTTCCTTGTGGGCTATTTAGCAATTCAGTCTCAATCTCTCCCAGGGAGGGGGCGGATTAAGAGATTTGTGAAGTAGGAGGTGTCAGCAGAGTTCTGAATCAGCCGCGCTTGTCAGCATCGCTGCAAGCGTTATTGTGTCCCGCCTAAATTAAAGAAAAAGGAAGAGACTCTGTCTGATTGAACTTCATGGTATTTTGGCTTCCAATGATGCATTTAATGGAAGAAATCTGCCTGCCAAGCTGGTGGCTTTCAAGTGTGTCTGGAAGGGAAGGGGGCAGGGGAAGGGAATGCAGCAAAGAGAAGGTTGCTGATTGACAATAAACAGTGGGAATGCAATGCTGAGGCCCTGTGGATCTGCACAGACAGATCATTGTGTCGCGGGTGCGCAGGACTAAACGACCTGAGAGGCTAATGACATGGAACAGGACACTAGTGTTGATGTCCTGCTGATGACAGCTGCAGGGGTGCAGCCAACTCCCCCCAGATTGCACTCCCACCCTGAGCTTTCTCCCACCAGTGGTCAGTGGGACATCTGTAAGCACATGCCTTTGCACATGTACGGAGGCACACGCTCATCCAAGGACGGTCAGCTTATGTGTGCACACACATACAACAGTCTGACTCCAAAGGTGCAGCAAAGTCTCCGGAAGCCAACGGGTGCGGCCAGCCACTCCTGCCCCACTGCCCACTTTGAAGCAGCCTTTGCTCTGCCCCCTCTGCTGCCTGGTTGCCTCCATTTGGTAACTGGATTCTGTCTGAATCCCTCCACACACAAACACCTACCCACCAGCACATCTGTTTGCTTGTAGGGGATCTGCAAGATATGTAGTGCTTGTTTCTTCCATGGTCACAGGTTTGTGTCTGGGGCACATACTCTTCCCCCCGCATCCCATTCTCCCCAACAGCATGTAAGAACCAGCCTTGCCACTTCTGCTTAGAGCAGCTCTGGACCGTGCCCCACCCTGCGTAGTCTCATCTTAGAGGCATCTCTTCCCCATGTGGAAATCAGCAATCAAAGGAAGCAATTACACCAAATCACACTCCCCAAGTGACAAATAGCCCAGCCTGCCAGGCGGCTTACATACCACCAAGAGCAGGTTGCAACCTGCTCCCACACATTAAAGAAACGACCCTGCGCTATTTATGCTGTTGGAGGCCTAATTATGGGAGCAATTTTCCCTGGATTCCAGAGAGGGGAGAGAGAGAGAAAGAAAGAATGAGTGAGTGAGTACTGGCACACACAAGTGTGCAAGGCTATTAGCAAGTGCGGATGCCTGTGGGTGATCTCACAATCTCCTTAAATCAGTAGTGTAATGATGGATGGATGAGCAGGGCACGAGCGCCAGGCACTGCTGAGGGGAGGGTGCCTGAATGAAAATGGTGGGGTATCTCACCTTCCTGCCCCACACCCTACATCATTTCTGCTCCAGCTCCAGCAGCAGCAGCAGGGATTGTAGAGAAGCAGTGGTGTTTCACCGCTAAGGAGTGGCCGGCAGTTCTTTGCTGCAGGAGAGAGATGTTGCCCCCTTTTTGTCACTAAAAACGATGACTTTTTTTTTAGTTGTTCAGCTTATAGCAACAGCAGAAAAAGGGATGGCATCTTCCCCCTGCAGCAGTGAACATCCAGCTACTTCTGGTGTCCTGCCTTCTCCAGAGTGGGACTGGGACAAGGAAGGTCCAGGGTGCAAAGGGGGAAGTGGGTGGGAGAGGGTTGCAGTTCAGCCCAGGGAGCAATACTGGCCGGTTACATGTTTTGCTTAAAACCTGCCTGTGGCCTTTACAAAACACTCTTTGAAACATAGTCAAGAGCTGCTTAAATGGATCTATTTGTTACCTATGAAGTCCTGCCCAACTCATATCTAAGCCTTTTAAAAGAAGAGTTGGCTCTCTTGCCAATTTTTAGTTCCCCTGACAAGTCTGTATGCAGCAAACATAGCTATCCAACTTTTTAGGCCTGCTAGAGGATTTATCAAACCCTTAAAGTGGCCTCGAGGTCCAACCGCCTGGTGGTGGCATAATCCTGGGAATGCTGCCATTGCTTGAGAGTCTCATGAGATTAAATGTTATTCTTAAAGTCCCAGCTCTTTGAGTCATGTGACTATAGGAATTTCAGCTTTCATTTGGGGGAAAAAGAAATCATTTCTAGGCTCGCTGATTGTGGAGATGCCTGGAAACACAATCTGAATGTGATCCTAAAAGCTCAGAAACTGGAAGGCAAAGAAAAAGATTCCAGCAGTGATTGTTCTTTCAAATCTCCATTTTTTCAAACCAGTCTCAGGGGTTTGGGACGCAACCCATGATTTGTGAATACAGAGTTGGTGACACTGCTATAGTGCAAGCAGCAGGTCCTGGTAAGTGATACTGAAGAAACAAGCAGGAGAGATGTGCCCCATACTGGGGAGCAGAAGGTCTGGTGACAAGGCGTTGAGTTTAGACCTGAATGAAATTCCTGGCTCTGCAGCAGACTCACTTTGTTAACTTCGGAAACTCGCATAATCTCTGTGCCTCGGACACTATTTGTAGCAAGAAGGGGAATAAGTAGAACTGCTAGAAAATGGGGTACGAATTTAGACTTCCATGAAAAATCAAAACCTAGGAATCTGTGTGAGTGTCTGAACCCAGCTTGAAACTTGCTCAGCCTTTGATTCCAGCGAGATCCAGTGGCAGTGAGATTCACAGTCTAATCCATGGTGTGAGAAAAATTCCTTTTGCATTGGTTTGTGTTTGCCACCTTTCAGCATCACCGTAAGTCTTTTTGGGCTTGGGTGGGGAAACAAATGAGAACTGCAGTTTTCACTTTCCCTTCTCTGATGCAGTGCTCCTGAAACTGGTGGTACCATGCCCCCCTGGGTGTGCAGTGTACTTCTAGAGGGGCCATGAAAGGAAGGAATAGGGAAGGAGGAGATAGGAAAGAGGATATTTAAATGGAGAAAAAGAAAATAAAAGACAAAAGACATAAAACAACAGGTCACATGTTGCTAAATGGTGGCCCAGCAAGGGCAGACCAGATAAGGTAATGATTTAGGAATATCCCTTCCATGCCAGAGACAATGTGGTGGCCCCTGGTCTGCGTAAAAGAAGGAGTAGCCCCTCCTCTCCATCACTGTCATCACTACCGGCTTTTAGAGCAATAAAGTAGGGTTTCTATTTGTATTCAATATCACTGAGCATCTTTATGGGGAAAGTATGAGTCACGACCTCTTACAAGGACAGTCACAAAGCTAATTTCTTCTCTTCTGTTTTAGTGATTGTAGAACAGGGTTCTCTCCCAGGAACTGAGCATGGGATCACCCGTGCTGGAAGCATAGGTCTCTGCCGGTTAAGCTGAATAAGCTGGCAGTAACAGGTCATGACATGGACACAAGCCTTAAGTTCAACATTCAGGCATTGTAGTCACAGCCTACTCCCAGAGACCTGGGAGGATTTGTAGCAAGATGTATAAGATGAGACTTGTTAAGTTTCCTCAAGGATGCTGACATGACCTTGCCTCCTCTTTTTACTGCAGGCGACTCTCTGGAAACCAGCTCTTCAGGATCCCAGGGGAAGCCTTTTCTGGCCTCTACAGTTTGAAGATTTTGTAAGTCACATTTTCTCAGCCTACTGTTTTTACTATCCATCAGACAACAATATCTTTCGTCCACAAGACATGGGGCTCTGCCCCATTCAGAGCCAGCTGCAATGTAGTATGGCACCATATTACCAGTTTCGAAATCCATGCAGGTTAAATACCAAGCCAGATGATCTTGCAGCAGCTTTGATGCACACTAGAGCTCTGTCATATCACTGGTTATAACTACAGGCAACAGCATTTTCATTTGGTACCGTAGGGAAGCCCATAACACTGGCAAGGTCAGGTGCTGCCTGAAAATGAATGACAGACAAATGTCTGGAGGTTCAGAGTTTGGACACTCATCTGAAGAGCCAGGCCAAAAGCTGGAGCATTTACCTGGAGTTTATTCAGGACTTGCTCCAGCCCACTGAAGGTGAGAGGTCAAATGCAAAAAACATGCCTGGATAGAGGCCAAGCTACCATTGCATCAGCATCTCCCAAACACTAATTCATTCAGGATTTAGGATTCAGGATGAATCCTGATTCATCCCATCAGGATGAATCAGGGTTCCCCTTAACAGACCTACAGAGTTCTCTAATAGGCCTTAGACAATATCCTGCTGGGTACAAGATAGAGACTCCTGTCCCTTGCACCGGCTCTCTCTGCAGCCACGCCATTCTGCTGCCCAAAGAGGAAGGTAGTGGGGCCTGGGAACAGCCCTGCTCACGGTGTCGTAGGACTAGCAACTCACGGGCAGACTTCTTTCACAGCACACATGGGAGTCCTACCAGGCATGAATTCGCACTGCTCTCTACAGCTACCAGACAGTCCAGCCGCAGCCTCTGCTTAGCACCTAGTTCCTTTTTCTTGCTCTCAATACACATTCTTCACATTTCCCCTGCAATAAACATTTCACCCCGGAGGGGATGTTTTGAACTCAACCGCAATGTAAAATTGTCCTCGTTGGCCCAGTTTATATGAAGCAAGCAGGTACAAACCTGCTCTCGGGATTAGAGAGTACAGTGCTGTTTACTAGACCTTCTGAAGATGTAAAGCATGAATCCTGCTCTAAATCTCTAGGCTTAGCAATGAGCTCCTTCTTTATCCACTGCCTGCATTAGGCAATGAATCAAAGGAACTGAGGAAAAACCGCAGCTCACCCACCCAATTTCAACAAGAGGAACTTTCTACTTGGGGAACTTGTGGGCTTTGAAAGCCTCTTTTGATCAATTCATGTTAGAGTCACTCCCAGCCAGCTAATGATGCAGAACATAGGAAGGATGAAGCCTGCACAGCATCCCCTGCAGACTACAGTAATAACAACAAGCCAGCTCTGCCTTGCACAGGACTGTCCAACTTCTGAGTGGGTAGGGGCCACCTACCACGCTGGCCGCAGGCCCCCAGAGTGCACACCACACAAGCTGCATGCCACGGAGGCCTCACACCACACGGGCTCCCTGAGGCCACTCTCTCCTGTGCTGTGGGACCAGTGCAGCTCCCCCACCTCATGTGCAGCATGAGCCCTTCTCCATTGCTGCAGCTCTCACTGCCCACTCCTACCATGCTGCCCAGCCACAGAAAACCCTGCCACTGCAATGGGCAGGGAGCAATGGGGAGGAGTAGATTCATAGATTCATAGATGTTAGGGTCGGAAGGGACCTCAATAGATCATCGAGTCCGACCCCCTGCATAGGCAGGAAAGAGT